CGAAAAGTCAGTCCTCTATCCCAGATTGGTTTACACGGAGCTGTACCAGTGCGCTCTACTCCGAATCCCCGTCACCTGTGTTCCATACACCCACCGACCATAACATGGTAGATGGCAACGGGACATTTGTCGAGTGCCAGTTTGAAACTCCTTTATTACTGACAATAACCAGATCTGTCTGTACCGATATTTCGAATGTGATTCACCAATTTCAGGAGCTTGGATCGGTTGCAGTCGCATCACGAAATCATCGTTTACTTCCCTCGGTGAGTGCAATATTGTGGTCCTCATTAATAACTGTTTGTATGTGCTGCTGAGTATATGCTGCAGCAGTCCGACAGTGCTGCTTTACGTCGCAGAGACTTGGCCGTTACGGGAACAGGATGAAAATAGATTGTCGGTGCTCGAACACCACTGTCTACGTCGCATTGCTCGAGTCTGCTAGGGTAACCGGACTAACAATGCTGAGGTTAGGCGTAGAGTTTTTAGGTGATCGCGGTCGTCCATTGGATTAAGTAGTCGACCTTCATAGATAACGTTGGTTAGGGCATGTGTTATACATGTCACCAAATAGGTTGCCACGGTGAGCGGTGTTTGCCGAGGCAGGTAGCGATTGGAAAAAGGTCAAGGGAGGTCAAACTAAAACCTGGCATGAGCGTATGAAACCCCTAACCAGGACACTAGGTCACATAGGTCCCGTTAGGCTCCCTGGCTGAGGACCCCGAGATCATGGTCACTCATGGTTAGAGACAGTGATATGGCTGTATGTCGGAAACAGTGACGCTCATATATCTACTCATTATTCTAGGAATTTCAGGCTATATGAATTCGCTACCTTTCGCTTGGTTTGCTCTCATTATTCCAATCTTCATTCTGCTGTTTTATCCAAATGAATAACCTAAAGACAGCGACCATAACCGAAAGTGCACGTTCAATGATTGTAAGAACTGAACCTAACTGAGCCTGTTTGTCATCTTTAGTGTTTTTATTAATTGAAATTTTCATCTTGATCAAATTCAGTCATTCTTCTCCTCATCGGGGCTAACCCTAAGCTCCAGTAAATGTGCTGAGTGTTTATATAGTTTTGCTCGCTGCCCATATCCGACAGACCTCACAGTAATCAATAACAATCCTTTATCCAGGTTGAACTCTGTCAAATATCTTGGTGTAACCATAGATAGATAGATAGCAATTTTCATTGGTCAACCCACATCCACAACTGCACTGATAAACCGCGGCGCCTATCATTTCAAATACGAAAGCTCAGGCAGTTTCGTGCATCCCAGTCGGTTATTTCTACCTGTTTGTTTGTGAGTATAGTGGCCTCAGTAAGCTAACCTTCTTTTGGGGCATTCCTTTTCGAAGAAGGCAGCCCATCAGAGCTTCGCGGTCAACTGAGTCGAAGGCTCCTTTCAGGTCTAGGAACACTGCGATCGTTGGTCGACGGTAGGTGTGATGCAGTCCGGGGACCTAACGCAACGTAAAAAGTTGATCAACACATCCAAGGCCAGGCCGGAATCCGGCTTGCTGTTCAAGGATTTTGGTTTCTCTTAAGGTAGTCAAACGTCGAAGTACGATGGAGACTAGCACTTTGATAACAATTGGGATGAAACTTGTCCCGCGGTGGTTTTCGCAATTGTTGCGGCATCCTCTCTTGAAAATGGGAACGATCCTGGCAGGTTGGTATATGTTTTTTTCTCTATGAGAGTTGTTGGTTCTTGAGATATTCAATGCCTCCGACTGGGTTACGGCTCAGATCCACAAGCTTTATTCGCTGCAAAATGCATTGCTCACTTAATCTGATCTAACTGCTCATCAACATCATCATGTCGAAGCGTCCTTGGGTCACGCAATAGCTCGGAGTCACAACGTGCACAAACTGCTGGAACAGACAGGCGTTGATGAGCTATCCGAATTTGCTGGTTTTGTCGCCGGTCGCAGTGTCCGCGACTGCAGTTCTGCAAATGCTTGTTCAGATTTCAACGCAGGTGATTAAATAGGACCTGCAATTTTTCACTGATTCACACCAACGGTAGGATGGTGCTATGAGGTCGATTCGAGTTAACGCATCGACTGAACTTCTGCGCCTCGTTGCCGTCTGTCGGGAGCTGCCCTTATTTATTTGGCATCAGAACTGCAGTATGTCGTTACGTATACCGATATGATGAACAAACACCTTGTGATATTGCTGCTGTCCTGGACACTGATTGAACCCTGGAGACGCATTGCACATAAACGATAATTGACCGGGATCTAGTCGATAGGAGAAAGAGGACTTGGTCCAGCTATTGAGTGCAATACCTACGCCGCGCTGACCTATTTACGGGCTTCGTCATCACCTGATGTGCGAAGAACGTACCTCGAGGACAGATTGGGGGCACTCAAGTGGCTTATAGTAGGTGGATCCCGAATTCGAGTCTCCGATAAGCGTCCCCTTCGATTGGCTTTGCTACACTTGCACGCTCTCCTTCACCTTGTTGGAATTTTTACATTTTCACTCAATATCGTGCGTCGTTTCTACTCACGGGATTACATTATTTGTCTGAAATGTGATAGAACATCTTTTAGTGGTTCATCAGCTTGTGCGACTCCAGTTTCTCACAGTTCACGTTGGACCAAAACAACACAAGCGTACTAGATAACCAGTTGCCCTTAATTGCACTCCTTTGGCCGAAATGAGTGTTCCGTCGTTGGTTAGCACTAACTCTCGGTCCTTTTTTCCTAAATTAGCGGATTAAGAATTCATATGAATATTTGTGCTATCTGTGCATAATAATCCTTGCCGAATAAGGGTATGGATGACACTAGTATCGTTAGGCGGTTTTCTAATTTACCGACAAGGTCGTGGCACGGGAAGACAGAAGGCTGTAAGGGGTGTTGTGACAAATGTCAGCGTTTCCTGGTGTGACAAGTCCCATATTATTTTTCAGTACTGCTCAAACAATATTGAGTGCCTAACGGGGCAAGTTCACCCAAGATTTTCCCGTTTTACCCGCGACTTTCACTAACTCGTATATAGCACCTTACTGTGTACGGTCCGATCGCACTTCATTCTCCGACTCGTGTATACCTTTTATTGCCCCACGTTTGGATGTCGACTTACACGTGACCGTTGGCGATTTTAACCATATTAGTGCTTATTCTCTTTTATTATGAAGTATGACATCTTTGTCACTCTCCCACAAGTTTTAACACTATACTGGACAGAGTAATCGCCAAAGTATTGAAAATCGGCTCTTGTAGCTCGGGTGAGCGGAGTAATCACCAACCACCCATCTCTTTTTTCTTTTGTACTAACCGTACCAATTTCCTCCAGGGACCACTGTTTACTCTTAGTTCGATGTAACTGAAATGTAAGCTTCCCTGTTTGCAGAAGTTATACAAAGTTAAACCATAAAGTACAAGTTCCGATCCCTGAGAATTCCACTCCTTACACCATACAAACTTGGTGGTCCGCCTGCAATAGAGTCCTCATATTGAAAGCTCCCAGGGTGAGAGATTGACGAGGCTTCAAAATACGCAAATTACTTATTGGCAAATTACTTACTATGCTATTTGTCCACGACCTTTGACCACCAACAGCCTTAAGTTTTGATAAGAACCTATCCGCAAGACGGGATGATGCGAAGTGGAGGCCTATTTACTTGGATCGATTATGCCTTCAGCACTTTTACCGACTGAGACGCCCCTTTTTCGAGTCGAACCCTAACCTGGAGACGACTTCGCCTGACCTCTACCCGTCTACCTACCAGACGTGATTAGATCTACGGCTTGACAAAGGCCATCCTGTGTAGCTCGTTGGGTCACAGAGGTGCACAAACCCTCACACTATGTCATGGCGCAGTCTCACCGTAATGGTTGTCCTACAAGTGTGTTTCATTTGATT